TGGTTGTCAATAAAACAAAGCCCCCCCCCCCCTCCAAAGTGAACTCTGTCCCAGGAACATGCTAAAAGAGACTTGAATCTATTAAGAAAAGTTTTCTTGTTTAATAAGAAAGATTTGTCAACTTTCTTTGCCAGAGGAGGGATCATATTCTGGGCAGACACTCTTGGATCCAAATACATCTATTCACGATTGGATGAGTGGTCAAGAATGTATGGAGACTTTTTCAAGCCTTGTTCCTACCTAGCTGAAAGAGCTTCCAAGGGGGCTCCTCTGGTGAGTGTTTTGAGTTCTATTAGTGTTATGTGTTCCGGGATTCATATAGGTTTTGAAATGTTTGAGGCAATTTCATGGACCTATGTGTAGTTTAGATCTAGTGTTTAGTTTAGATCTCTGACTCTATTCTGTTTCTGCCACAACTACTGTGAGTATCAACCCTTTGTTCTATTATTCTACCTCCAAATGTATGTGTCTAGTTTTCCTTTGTTGGATTAGTGGACTAGGTTTCCATTTGCTATCTGCAGCACATATTAGACCGCAGCTCAGATCAGCCATGAGGCCATCATTTTCATTGACACACATCCTTTGCTGTTGAATGCAACGTCACATTAGTAGTCACGTAAAAGCACTAATATATTATCACTAGATGATCCTGAATACTGTGTGCACTAGCAGAGTGTTATAATCATTAGCAACTGGTAGTCAGTAACCAGATGCATCAAATGTGGTGTGCTAAAAAAAGAAATCATCTCATAATTAGACGAGAGAGGTAGCTTAGGGATAAAGACCGCATTTGAGTTATTAATGTAACGAAGTGGAAAGAACCACATTTGAGTTCCTGGGTAAGGGGGTTTGGGTGTAAAGCTTTTCATATAAAGAAACAAATCTCGTCAACATGGGGTGTTAAGGGAACTCTTGTTAGAAAAAGAGCGGGCAACAGCTTGTCATCTTATCTTATCTTAAACCCTTCTCCCACTCATCAGCTTGAAAATATTTACTGATATATTCATTTTCTTTGTGGTCATTGCAGAGTGCTACAACAGATTCAGCCAAGTCGCGCTTGTAAGATCAGCAATGCTAGTGAGCACTCTTCCACTTCGTAGCTTCGTTATTTCCTTACTCTGGTCAGCTAATAGGATTTGGCAAGGAAGAGTCAATAATGTAGAAATAAAATCAAAGAGCTAGATTATATTACGTAAGTTAAAAGCTTAGTTGTCCGGAAATAAAATGTGAGACGAGTATCGGACAGTCCCCTGCTTGTTTTTATGCCTCGATAGTTAACTGGATTTTTTAAATGTAATCTTTCCACTTGATACTCCTTTCGAGTAGAGTCTTCGTCATCTGAAATGGGGTTAATTTGATGGTCCATGGGTTTTCTCATATTAATCAAAATATTTGTTTGTTGCATCTCCATGCTCTCTTTCACTGCGAAATTTCGAAATTTCTGTGTATCTGGATTGTTTGCTTCCATGGATATGTGAATGTTGTATTTTGATTTTTTGTTTTTTCATATGTAATTCTAATCATTATGCTATTTCCTTGAGACAATTTATTAGAAATGAAATTGCATAAAATATAACATTGTCATTTAACTAGTTAATATATTGCAAAAGGGACAACATGTGTGCAAGTAGAAAGGAATCAAACGTGGGGAGCAAAGAATTTTCTTCTTCCTCTATTTGTTCCTTTCTTACATGTTTTATAATTGGTCAAATGATCGAAAATTTTAGTATTGATTTGATTGATAGATGCAAAGAATTATACTTTTGCACGTATGTATTTCATGATTGAAGACATTAAACACACCAAAAATAATCAAATTCATGAATTCGTGATTCATGATCCAAAGTATCAAAATAAATTATTTTTGTCATGGAAAACATGGTGAATTGGTGACTATTGGTCGCTCGACTTTTCGGCTAGACTCACCAAATTTCGAATTGATTGGAGTATGTCAATCATATTCAAGAAAATCAACATGTATATACGAAAAATAATCAAATTCATAAATTTGGGATTCATGACTTCAAAAATGTTAAAATAAATGATGTTGTCAAGGAGAACATGGTGAGTATTAACCACAGTACTATTTTCGTTGAATCCATCGAATTTCAAGTTAATCAGTGTATGTCAATCATATTCTGAAAAATTAGTGAAAAACAATCAAATTTATGAATACAAAATTCACGACCCCAAAAAGCCAAAATAAATGATGTTTATCATGGCAACCATGGTGAGTATTGGTCAGTGTATCATTTTCAATGGATTCACCAAATTTCAAGTTAATCAGAATCTGTCAATTAGATTCAGGAAAATTTGCATGTACATTAATTAATACACACAAAATAATCAAATTCATAACCCCAAAACATCAAAATAAACGATATTTGTTATGACAAACCTGGTGAGTCATGAGACTAGTTTTGAAAAACTCGCTAAATTTCAGATCAATCGAAATTTGTCAATCAAATTCAAAAATATCATCATGTACATAAACAAAAAACCAAAAAAGCCCAAATTCATGTATTCTAATTTTATAACTCTAAAACATCAATAATAATAATAATATTAATAAAGTATTGATCATTAGGTCTATATATATATATAAAAAAAATAAAAATATTGAGTGGTGATAACAAGTCAACAACATTTTACAAATCTTGCATCGTGTGCAAGCAAGATGGTCCATGCTATATGGAACAGCTGTTGGGTTTGAGTGTCAGATTCACCATGTACATCTTAATATTATACTAAAACACAAAAGACAAACGAGATTAGTAAAAATATACTCCAGTAGTACTAGTGGTAATATTAAATAAAAGATTGAAAATATTTTGAAAAAATTATTTATGAATTAGTTGAATTACATATCAATCTAATTTTTTATAAGATAAAATTAATAGCTACAGTAATAAATATATTAATTTTACTATCGAAACACATGCACACGTTAACAAACAGATCATATAATCTTTCGATCAGGAATATCATGAGACGGCATTCACACGAGGAATTTGATCCCAAATACGAAGCACTTTTTGATACTAATATTTTAGTAAATTCTTATGTATAAATTTATATTTTGTATAAAAAATATTAGATTCAAATAATGTCAATATTATTACTCTAGGTCCGATGATGGATATTAACGCTATATAACCTTTTTTACTCTAAAAAAATTATTTTTGAAAAATTATTGACTCGAATAATACACGTTAAATTATATTTCACTCATATATAATTAATATAATATATGGACTATATATTATATTATATTCTAACTCCCTAACTCATCCAAAACACTTCTAAACGTTGGATATGTCTCTTTGACGTATAGCAAGACTGACAATTTAATAAAAATAATTAAGGTATCCTATGTTTTCATAATCATTTATGTTACTATTAGTAGTAGTGCTTTTTTTTTTTTGAATTATCATATTATTTTGTTATAGTTATAATTTTATTTCAAGTATGTTATTGTTATACATTTATTTCTTTTAATAATTTATCTTGATATTTTTATAATTTTCTTTTTTCAATCTGTTTATAATAATTTTACTTGAATCGAGTGTCTATTGAAAATAATGTACGAGATTACATTAAGTATTTTAAATTATAGTAGAGCTTAGTTAGGATTCCATGTGCTTTTGGGGACTAACATTTTCTCCTTACTTCAATGCCACAACTCTTCTATTTTTGCACTCACTTTACACCACCTTTGTCCTTTGACCATATTTGTCTAGCTTACTGCTTCTCCAGTTTCTCTACATATTTCTCCTTTTTTATACTACTAGCTTAATCCTCTAAAAAAATAATCAATCCATTGAGGTTGAGCTCTAGTAGTGGCTAGCAACATTATATGCATCAAGAATAGAAACTAAAGCATATAACAGAGTGTGTCTGTGTGTTTTGTCAGCTGGGATTTATCAAGATTCAGTTTTTGCCCCATTTTCACTGTGTGTGTGTGTTTTTGTCAACTGGGGTCTATCAAGATTAAATATTTCCCCCATTTTCATAGTCAACTAGGCTTTATCAAGATTTAATCTTTTTTTCCATTTTCACAGTGTGTGCATTTTTGTGTGTTTTGTCAGCTGGGATTTATCAAGATTCAATCTTTTTGCTTCATTCTAATAGTGTGTGCATTGTCAACTGGGGTTTATCAAGATACAATTTTTTCCCCATTTTCATAGGGTGTGTGTGTTTTGTCAGCTGGGGTTTATCAAGATTCAATCTTTTCCCCTTTTCATAGGTGTGTTTTGTCATCTAGGCTTTAACAAGTTTCAATCTTTTTTCCATTTTCACAGTGTGTGCATTTTTGTGTGTTTTGTCAGCTGGGATTTATCAAGATTCAGTTTTTGCCCCATTTTCACTGTGTGTGTGTGTTTTTGTCAACTGGGGTCTATCAAGATTAAATATTTCCCCCATTTTCATAGTCAACTAGGCTTTATCAAGATTTAATCTTTTTTTCCATTTTCACAGTGTGTGCATTTGTGTGTGTGTTTCATCAACTGGGGTCTATCAAGATTTAATCTTTTCCCCCTTTTCATAGTGTGTGTTTTTTTTTGTCAACTGGGGCTTATCAAGATTTTTTTCTTCATTTTGACAGTAGGTGTGTGTTTTGTCAGCTGGGGTTTATCAAGATACATTTTTTTCCCCATTTTCATAGGGTGTGTGTGTTTTGTCAGCTGGGGTTTATCAAGATTCAATCTTTTCCCCTTTTCATAGGTGTGTTTTGTCAACTAGGCTTTAACAAGATTCAATCTTTTCCCCCTTTTCATAGGTGTGTTTTGTCATCTAGGCTTTAACAAGTTTCAATCTTTTTTCCATTTTCACAGTGTGTGCATTTGTGTGTGTGTTTCATCAACTGGGGTCTATCAAGATTTAATCTTTTCCCCCTTTTCATAGTGTGTGTTTTTTTTTGTCAACTGGGGCTTATCAAGATTCAAATTTTTCTTCATTTTGACAGTAGGTGTGTGTTTTGTCAGCTGGGGTTTATCAAGATTCAATTTTTTCCCCATTTTTTGCTGTGAAAATGGTAATGGAAGGGATTCAAGAAGATATAGGTGATGGGAATATGCAATGTATGAATCATCCTTATAAGAACAGTTCCCCAGGTGGGATCTGTGCTTTGTGCCTTCAAGAAAAACTTGGAAAGTTGGTTTCTTCCTCTTTTTCTTCTTCCATTTTCCCTTCTTCTTCTTCTTCCTCTAGTTCAAGATCTGATTTTGTAGCCACTTCTTCCACTACTACAACTTCAACCCTACAAGCCCCAACAACTAACAAAAATACCACTGATTGTGTTAACTATCATCCTTATGAAAACAATATTAGGAAATCAAAAATGCATTTTTTGAATAAGGGTAGTAATAGTAATGTTAATGTTAATATGGCAAGTTCTGGTTCAGATTCTGGCATTGTTTTTAAGAGAAGTAAGTCAACTACAACCCCAAGAAATCATTTGCATTTCTTGGAAGCTAATGAAAGAGAAGATTATGGTCCTCACAGAAAAGGGTTCTGGTCTTTTCTTCATTACTCATCCTCAAAGCATTATTCTTCCACAGGTAAAAAAAGCTTCGTCTCATTTAAAAGTTTAAGTTGTTTAATAGAAGTATTATATTTATTTACTTAATTATATCCTTAACATGCCCCCTTATGTACTGGTATTATTCTTTTTCATGGACTAAGCATGTGGAAATTATCTGACTCTTAGCTCTCGTTAGACCATAGATTTTGAAGTTGAAATTTGAAACTTTGAGTTTTTGAAACTTGAAGTTGTGTTTGAACATTCATTTTGCTTGGAGAAAAGTTGAACTTTGTGAGTGAAAGTGAAATTAGATCAGTTTTTGGAATTCCAAAATCTATGGCCAAACACTAGCTTAATATTATGTCTCTTGTTAGTTGAGTGAGCTAAATCTTGCCTTTAAAAGTAGTTGGAATGATTTTTTTGGGACAAACTTAGACTAGTGACTAATTGGGGATAGAATTTAAAGAATGGACTCAAAAATGGCCATTTGAGGAAATGTCCCTTGGAAATTCATTTAGATAAATTGGTGGCTGACGAGCTTTGAACATAGTAGTTTTGCCTGCTTTGTTATAATGTTGAAGTGTGTAATACTTTTATCTGAACGTTTAAGTTGATAAAGAAATGTAAATTCTTTTCGATAAGTCGGTGACAATGAAGACTCAAAAAACGGACTTCTTTCTTTTCTGCTCTATTAGTATCATATTTTGAAATGTGTAACCATCTTATCAATTATCATTTGGAACATTTTTATCTACTTAATTACGTCTTCAACAGGATCATCTATGAACAGTTCTAAAACATCAAGGGAGAAGAAGAAAGAAGAGATTGTTGTAGTGGAAGAGAATGAGAGTCCTAATGAGACTTCATTTAACAATAAAGTAGCAAGATCAAGATCTGTTGGTTGTGGAAGTAGGAGTTTTTCAGGTGATTTATTTGAAAAAATCTCGACAGGTTTTGGAGATTGCACATTAAGAAGAATCGAGTCACAAAGAGAAAGCAAACCAAGATTTTCATCTGTTCATCATAAAGAAAGAGTTAACTGTGGTGGCATATTATCATATTTGGTTTCTTCTGAAGTAAATAATCTGAATGGAAAATCACATCATATTGCTAATGGAAGAAGTAAGAATTGGGGATGGGCCTTAGCAAGTCCAATGAGAGCTTTTAGCAAAACATCATCAAGTGTGAAAAGAGAAGATTCAAATGATAACAAGAATGCTACTCCAAACTTGGCTGCAATTCCTTCCTTGTTGACAGTTAGCAGCTAGAAAGAAACTTCTTTTAATCTAATTTAAGTGAAAGACGCTAACGTTTTGAGCAGGCGGGGATTGGAGCTATTGATCCAGAAAGAACGAGGCGTTGAAAGCAAATCCGTAAGATTGATCTGATTCCTCCATAGCTACTACTACTACTGATACTATTATACAAATTTGCATTATATTCTTGTGTAGAAACTATGTTCATTTATCAGGTTTTATCAACTAATTTCTCTGTTTCATCACTGTTTATTAGAGCCCTTCCTTCTTTTTTTGGTCTTGTTGCAAGGTGGATGTTGATTTCTCATAATTATTACTTTTGTATGACAATGTAGAATGATGATGATTGAGTTGAATTCAAATCTTTTGTAGTGTTTGGGCATTGAGATGATTAAAGAATGAGTTCTCTTCTTTTTGTTTGATCAATTGTTTGTAATGATTTTCAATGAGAGCAATTCCAATCAATTCATGTATTTCCTTCTTTGTTGTACATGAAGACATAATTTTGTAGAACTCTTTTATAACAATCGTGTATGGTCAGCTTGTGTTCATCTCGATTGTTTTGTTGAGTACTTTATCTCACAAAATACTTGCTATCATAGGCAAATTCATGATTTAACTACAACTCATTCTATTTATCAGTTTCAAAATCTTGTGTTATATTTATGTAGTATGCTTTTAAATACATACACAGTTTTTGAGTTAAAATTATTGGATTTCAATGACTCAGTAGGTTATATCTGCCTCTGCTTGTTATCTCCCACTAACAAAGATATCGAATAGCTCTTCTAACTACAACTTAGACAGACAAGAAGAAATCATCTAACATTTTATTTGTTTGTATTGGTATTGGAGTTTTCATCTCCGTGATTTTCGTTTCATTTATTGATTAGTAAGCCACACCTTTAAAGTCCTCTCTATACCAAACTTTCAAATCTTGATTGACAATGATGGGAGTGTAGGGAATCATAATAATTAAAGTATATTTTTTGTTATGAAATTTTGGAACCCTTTTTACATCTAAATGTCTCCATCTAGGAGTCTCATGACTAGTTTATATGCCTACTTCTCTAGTTGGCCAAAAAGCTAGAAGCCAATAGATCTATAAAGAACAAGTTACTCATGTGCAAGAATTGGTGGACACAACTAATCATGTTTTAAAAAAGGTTTTTTTTTAAGAATAATCTTCAAGTCTCTAAGATCCAAGTCAAAATAGTATCACATGTTTGGTAGATGGAAAACACATGCCAAAAAGGTTTTAAATCAAGGGGGCATATAATAATTGACACCTAACACTAACTTAACTAGCATACATGTTAGAATTTCATGTGTTAACTTATTATTGGTTATTTAATTTTATCACATAAAAGTCATTTTTCTATAATTATTTTAACTAGGTTTTCTGAATTTTTCAACACTCAATTCTTGATTTATCATTTGTCACATAAAAATGATCTCTCTAACAAAATACATAAATATGACTTCACTACATAATTTTCAATCATTGTGTTATACTGTTCAAATCCTTCAGAAATATCGTGATAGGTACACAACAACAATACAACAACAATATATCAATATAATCTCATAAATGAGATCCAAGCAAAGTGGTATATACACAAACGTTACCTTAAGATAGAGAGATTGTTTCTGATATATCCGAAACGTAATATAATAATAGAGTGACCATTTGGACAATGAACTTAATCTAAAATGGTAGGGTAAAAACTTTTTGGCTTATTGTTATGTCTACCTCATATATTGATTATTTGTTTGCTTATATATACATGTGTAAATAGGACAAGTAGATAAAAGTAACCATTCATGATGACCTGATTTGCAGATAACTCACAAGAGGCTGTAAATGTCTCTGTTCACTATTTTTTTTTGTCTGTTGGAGAAAAAATAAATTGATTTGTGTATATATATATATCTTGATGAACTTTTTTTTTTTGGTGTCAGTTTTGTCTGTGTTTTTTGCATGAATATCACATTGTCATGCATCTAAGATTTCACCGTTGTACTTCTAGTATTTATTCTTTATTGTGTGTATTATTTTTTTCACATGATAGCTCGTTGTTTTTGGTTTCGGGCTATGGATTCGACTTACTTGCTAGTGGATGTTTGTAGGTGTCATCATGATTTAAGATTTTGGACTGTGATAAATTGGTATAAGAGCTCTAGATTCACTGATATCGTTGGTATGAGAGCAAGTGTCTAGTAGAAATTTAATGTACATTTGCTTCGATCTATAGTACTTCTTTGAACCCACTCTTTCTTACATGGATAACACAAAGTATTCGGTGAACGTAGATGGGAAATCGAAGCCAAAATTCATGGACAATAGCACAAGTAAAATGGAAATTTTGGTATTTCTCGATTCGGACCTCATTTGAACTTGAAAATGCGGACGTTTGCCCCTCCGGACCAACGCGCGTCATTAATAAGGTGTTCATATAGGCCCACAAAAATTTTTGGTCAAAAACCCGTCGGGATCACATAGCACCCAAAATCCATAGATTATAGCATATATAAAATAGAGAATTCAGTATTTCCCGTTTTGGGCCTCGTTTGAACTTGAAAATGCGGATGTTTTCCCCTCCGGACCAATGCACGCTATTAATAAGGTGTTCACGGACGCCCACAAAAAAATTTGGCCAAAAATTCATCGAGATCACGTATCACCCAAAAATCATAGACTGTAGCACACGTAAAATGCAGAATTAGGTATTTCCCAATACGAGTCTCGTTTGAACTTGAAAATTTGAATGTTTCCCATCCAGACCAATACACGCCATTAATAAGGTCTTCATGTACGCCTACAAAAATTTCGGCCAAAAACCCGTCGGGATCACATATCACCCAAAATTCATAGACTATAGCACACGTAAAATGGAGAATTCAGTATTTCTCGTTCCGAGCCTCGTTTGAATTTTTGGAAATGTGGACGTTTGCCCCTCCAGACCAATGCATGCCATTAATAAGATCTTCCCGGACGCCCAAACAAATTTGGTCAAAAGCCCATCGGGATCACATATCACCCAAAATTCATAGACTATAGCACACGTAAAATGGAGAATTCAGTATTTCTCGTTCCGAGCCTCGTTTGAATTTTTGGAAATGTGGACGTTTGCCCCTCCAGACCAATGCATGCCATTAATAAGATCTTCCCGGACGCCCAAACAAATTTGGTCAAAAGCCCATCGGGATCACATATCACCCAAAATCCATGGACAATAGCACACGTAAAATTGAGAATTCGATATTTCCTATTCTGGGCCTCGTTTGAACTTGAAAATGCGGACGTTTGCCCCTCCGAACCAACGCACGCCATTAAAAAGGTCTTCACGGATGCCCACACAAATTCTCAGCAGAGAACCCGTTAGAATCACATATCACCCAAAATTCATGGACTAGAGCACACGTAAAATGGAGAATTTGGTATTTCCCGTTCTGGGCCTCGTTTGAACTTGAAAATGCAAATAATTTTTCCTTCGGACAAACGCACGCCATTAATAAGGTCTGCACGGACGCCTATAAAAAGTTTCGGCAAAAAACCCATCAGGATCACATATCACTCAAAATTCATAGACTATAGCACACGTAAAATGAAAAGTTCAGTATTTCTCGTTCCGGGCCTCGTTTGAACTTGAAAATATGAATATTTACCCCTCTGGACCAATGAACGCCATTAATAAGGTATTCACGGACGTCCACAAAAAATTTCGGTTAAAAACACATCGGGATCACATATCACCCAAAATTTATGGACTATAGCACACGTAAAATGAAGAATTCGGTATATTTCGTTCCGGAACTCGTTTAAACTTGAAAATGCGGATGTTTGTCCCTCCAAATGAATGCACGCCATTAATAAAGTCTTCATGTACCCCCACAAAAAAATTTGATCAAAAACCCGTCGGGATCACATATCACCCAAAATTCATAGACTAATAGCACACGTAAAATGGAAAAATTGGTACTTCCTGTTTCGGTCCTCGTTTAAATTTTAAAATACGACTGTTTGTCCCTTTGGACCAATATACGCCTTTAATAAAGTCATCACAGACGCCCACAAAATATTTTTGGCCAAAAACCGTCGGGATCACATATCACCCAAAATTCATGGACTATAGCACACGTAAAATAGAAAAAATTGTATTTTCCATTCTAGGTCTCGTTTGAACTTGAAAATGAAGACGTTTGGTGAACAAATGTCGATATTTTCTAGTTCAAACGAGGCCCGCAACGGGAAATATCAATTTTTCCATTTTTGGTACATTATACTCCTTTAAAACAGCCAAAAATGACTTTCAATAGAGGTAACAAACTTGGGAAATGACTAAAATAATTGTAGAACACGTGCATCAAGTTTCCGGAAAAAAAATCGCAACAAGCATTCACAAAAGGCTCCACTGTCCGTATAACATTCAACTGTCGTGAAATAATTACTGCCTTATAGAGTTTCATTGAAACGGACCTAACTTTTTACTCTGAACTTTAATTAACACAAATTTGGTGGCGTTGAAAAGAAGACTCATAGACCTTTCATTTGCGGTTATGGCCATCAAATTCCTCATATTCAAAGAGATATGATTGCTTGAAGTTTATCTAAGTAGAATTTTATATCAAAACATATTGTTAGGAAACATTCAACTCATCTTCAAATTTATTTTTAGAAGTTTTCGGGGTGTTACATCCATGATCCACATCATTTTCAAAACACTTAGTACCTACTCAAAAGGAATAATGTGATTTTGTTCCAATTTTCCGTGTGTTTTGTGTTTTATATTTTATGTACATTAGCAAGATTATTAATAGTAATAATCACCAAATAATAGGGACTTTTAGGGATGAACATTAGAAATTTTGGTGACCAATAATATTAGTTTTAGCAGCGACTGCTAATAAAAACTTTTAGCCACAACATTTATAGGTTTTAGCGGCGATTATAGTCGCCACTAAAGAACCTTTTAGTGACAACTTTTAAAAGTTTTAGCGGCAGTTATAGTTGCCACTAAAACTGACTTTTTTCGCAACAACTTTATAAGTTTTAGCGGCAAGTTTATCACCACTAATAAAAACTTATAGCCACAAAATATATAGAGTTTAGCGGCGGGGGGGGTCGCCACCAAAGAACCTTTTAGTGACAACTTTTAAAAGTTTTAGCGGCGATTATAGTCGCCACTAAAGAACCTTTTAGTGACAACTTTTAAAAGTTTTAGCGGCGATTATAGTCGCCACTAAAGAACCTTTTAGTGACAACTTTTAAAAGTTTTAGCGGCGATTATAGTCGCCACTAAAGAACCTTTTAGTGACAACTTTTAAAAGTTTTAGCGGCGATTATAGTCGCCACTAAAGAACCTTTTAGTGACAACTTTTAAAAGTTTTAGCGGCGATTATAGTCGCCACTAAAGAACCTTTTAGTGACAACTTTTAAAAGTTTTAGCGGCGATTATAGTCGCCACTAAAGAACCTTTTAGTGACAACTTTTAAAAGTTTTAGCGGCGATTATAGTCGCCACTAAAGAACCTTTTAGTGACAACTTTTAAAAGTTTTAGCGGCGATTATAGTCGCCACTAAAGAACCTTTTAGTGACAACTTTTAAAAGTTTTAGCGGCGATTATAGTCGCCACTAAAGAACCTTTTAGTGACAACTTTTAAAAGTTTTAGCGGCGATTATAGTCGCCACTAAAGAACCTTTTAGTGACAACTTTTAAAAGTTTTAGCGGCGATTATAGTCGCCACTAAAGAACCTTTTAGTGACAACTTTTAAAAGTTTTAGCGGCGATTATAGTCGCCACTAAAGAACCTTTTAGTGACAACTTTTAAAAGTTTTAGCGGCAGTTATAGTTGCCACTAAAACTGACTTTTTTCGCAACAACTTTATAAGTTTTAGCGGCAAGTTTATCACCACTAATAAAAACTTATAGCCACAAAATATATAGAGTTTAGCGGCGGTTGTAGTCGCCACCAAAGAACCTTTTAGTGACAACTTGTAAAAGTTTTAGCGGCGGTTTTAGTCGCCAAGAAAAAGCATTTTAGCGACGACTTTTAAAACTTTTAGCGGCGGTAATAGTCGCCGCTAAAACTGACTTTTCGCAACAACTTATAAGTTTTAGCGCCGACTAAGACGCCACTAATAAATACTTTTAGCCACAAATTTTATAGGTTTTAGCGGCGGTCAAAGTCGCCACGAAAGAGATTTTTAGCGACAAGTTCTAAAAGTTTTAGCGGCGATTTTAGTCGCTACCAAAGAACCTTTTAGCGACAACTTTTATAAGTTTTAGCGGCGATTATAGTCGCCACTAAAACTGACTTTTCCCAACAACTTTATAAATTATATGAGACCATTAGTAATGAGTTGAGGGAGCATTACGTATAGTTCCACCATTTTCTTAATGCATATTTTTTCATCAAGGGGCCAATATTTAGAGTTTACGCGTCTTTCTTGATTTTTCGTGTATATTAGTCCATAGTTATAATGCTCATGGGCCAATGAAGGTTTTTTTGAAAAAACTTTATGACAACCTCAGAAATGAGTTGAGAGTGCATTACATATAGTCCCACCAATTTTAAAGGCATATTTTTGCATCTAAGGCCAATTTTTAGGAATTACGCAACTTTCTTGATTTTCGTATGTATTAACCCATGAATATTGACGTCTTTTGGCGCCCAGAAGGTTTTCTGAAAAATCTTTATAAGGATCTTTGTAATGAGTTGAGGGAGCATTACGCATAATCCCAGTATTTTTAAAGGCATATTTTTCATATAGGGGCCAACTTTTGTGAAATACTTAATTTTCTTGGTTTTTCATGTGCTAGCCCATGGATGTTGGCGCCCGGAAGGTTTTTCTGAAAGAACTTTATTAGGATCTCTGTAAAAAGTTGGAGGAACATTACGTATAATACCATCATTTTTAAGGCATATTTTTGCATATAGAGGCCAACTTTTAGAAACGATAAAACTTTCTTGATTTTTTGCGTGTATTAGCCATGGAAATTGGTGCCTTATAGCGCCCGAAAGTTTTTTCTGAAAAAACTTTATGATGAGGGATGTTGATGGTCAATCGAAACCACCTCTCTACCCCATAAAAATAAAGATAAGATTGTGTATATTTTAACCTTTTGAAACCCCTCCTTTATGATTATACTGAAATTTATTGTTATAGTATATTAGACTAGTCTCTCAAAAAATACAATCATATCTTTTGCCTAATAAGCAATATAGACACAATTTAAAATTATACCCAAACAGGTTGAGAGAATTTCATAGAATGCTACATAATTTCATGAGTGGACCTGAGGAAGTTGGTGTGTACGCAGATCTTACACCTATCTTGTGAAGTGAAAGGTGATGTTTCGAATAAGACTGTCAGCTCAAGAAGAGCACTTTAAAGCAAGTATGAAAAGGGAATACAGTAGTGAACAAGTCATTATGAAAACAATGGAGAAAAAAAAATAAGTAACAACAAATAAATGATAACACAACAAATTAGGAAACAACAATTAAGTTACTATAGTATATATAATTGAATTGATACATAGTAGTAATATTTTCCTTTTGGATTTTTTCTTTCACCTATGGTTTATTAGTGTTTTTGTTGTTATTTTTGTTGATAATCACTTCTTCAGTCTGAGTTGAAGGCTTGTAATATCCAGTGACAGGGTCTGGTACCCATGATGACTCTGAAGAAACAGAATTTGCCCTCTCATCTTTTACTAATTTTTGTTGATGATCCCTTTTTGTTGACCCTTCTTCTGCTTGTGTTGCACAATACCCTCTCCTACAATATTTTCTTCTTTGTCAACAACAAGTCAACAATAATAACAACATATTCAGTATAATCTAACAAGTAAGGTCTGAGAACAGACTTTACCCCTAACTTTGTAAGATAGAGAATTTTTTTTTACAAACACATGTTTTGTTTCAAATTCATAACAAAATAATGAATTGGTACAAAAAGATCAACTCACCTTGTTACAAGATTCAAGGGAAAGCTACCATCAACAAGACAATAAGAAGACTTGAATTTGGAGATGATTCTTGTCATATTGCCAGCCATTTTGAGAGTAAAAGAGAACTCCAAAGACTTGAAAATAATATTACGAAGTCTTTGGTGAATGAATTTACCAAGTCTAGAGACACAAACCAAAGTTGCATTATATTGTATTATTATATAAGAAATGGATAGTCAAAAAGTGGAACAATTTGGTAGGCCACTTGTATAATTGAAGCTACTTGGTCATTATGACTTTAGTACCTAGAAACTTCCCTTCAATAAGAAGAACCACCCACGTTGCATCATCCTATTATATAAAAAGAAGTTTCCAAGAGGAAGACGTTATATACACTAATAATGTAAAATATATTCGTATAATCAAATCAAATATAAAATAGTCACATATAGGTTTCTATGACAAGCACTAGTTAATTATTTAAAGAAAATGATAATTGACATGATATCACAAGTTAAATTCACAGAGAACAAAACAAAAAATATTATCCGTGTATATAACTTAAACTTTGTGTGAATAGTTGGTGGCCTCTAGGCACGAGAAAGGCTACCTCTTTTGGCCTTTCATGTAATCACGACCTACTTGTGTCAAAAGGATCATTATTTTTATTTTTTAAAACATTAACTTATGTACCCCACTTGTATAATCACAATTCTACATGATATTATCAGAGCAGATAAAAATTCTAAATGCAAATCTCACCATATGAATCGAGTCCCACATGAAATGTAAATAAAAGTATGTCGTTTATGATAGTTTAAACTTTTAGATAAAAACATGCCGCAACCTCAATGTTTATGATGAAACTCATAGGAATAATATCCACCCTTAACAACTAATGAATTACAAGGTACAACCACTAGAACAAAGAGGAAAATAAGAGAAAACAAAGAGAAGTCGTAAATAAGAAAAAGGAAACATTGCAAATTACAAAGTATTCGAAATTTCAGATAATCTTTTTTAGTTCCTAGCAATTGTATGCATTTCCACATCTAAATGTCAAAATCGTGTTTCTGTGTAGTTCACTCAGATTGGGCAAGGTGGAACATCAAGGGTGATACCAGCTTGGATTTGGCCCCAACCGATGAGACGCCAGTGCTTCTCGATTCTCCTGCTAAGAGCAATTTTCTCACCTTTGCTGGTACACACAGGTGATGTCAATTGCAGTTTTGCAAAGACATTCTTAACAGCGACAACACGAGCCCCAGTTGACATAGATCCTATGTTTAACATGAGAATCTCTCCCTTGGCCAACTTTGAGACTTTACCCTGCCTTTCCGTGTCCTTTGTCCTCACTCCCAGAAGACGGCGGAGCAAGAAGAAATTTACCTGCATTACAAAGTGATGTGATTTGGAAGAAGAAGAATAGTGATGTTCCTTTTGTTCTAAAAGAGTCTGAAACTGATGTCTAAGTGATTTACCTCCAGTTCGACAAACACTTCAGGAAGTGAGCCAACCTCCCCAAGAACCTGTCCGACCAATCGATCAGCACGAGTCAATGTTGGATCCATAGTTGTTCCAACTCCAATGAGGCCTCCGGGCACAGCAAATTGTAGCTCATTTTGCTCAGCAAACAATGACACTATTCTTGAATATATTGGGGTACACTTAATGTTGCCACTCTCATCCTTGACAGTAATACCGGGACGAACCTCAATGAGTTGATTTACCTTCAGGACGCCCTGCAGAAAAAACATTTACTTGCTCATTTGACTTGGTCCATCTTTCAATCAGATTTTCATTCTCTATGTAACGGTTAGCATAAGCATTAGGTATAACGAAAGGACATCTGTCGCACTAGAAATTTGTGCCCTTGGCCAATCAAGGAAACCGTGAAGGAAAAGAAGGTATGAGTTGTAGTATTTGTTTGCTTTATGGAATTTAAGGACATACCTTAAGTATACTGCCACCAGCGACACCACCTCTGATATCATCAACTTCAAAACCAGGTTTATTAACATCAAATGATCGGATGACTATCATATTTGGTGGTGAAATGAAATTCCTCTCAGGAATTGGAATTTTCTTCACAATATATTCAGCAACAACATCGATGTTGTACTTCAATTGTGCAGAGATTGGTACAACTGGAGCACCATCAGCAACAGTTCCCTGAACAAGGTATTGAAATAAGGTATAAAGATACAGCCTTAAGATCAAGCATAGACACAGTAAAGAGGTAAACCAATTACACTGACCTGAATAAATTTCTGAATTGCCTCATGCTGGTTAATGGCAACATTTTCCTGAACTAGATCAACCTTATTTTGGAGAATTATTATGTGTTGGAGGCGCATAATTTCTACAGCAGCTAAATGTTCAGAAGTCTGAGGTTGGGGACAGCTCTCATTAGCAGCAATTAGAAGTAATGCTCCATCCATAATTGCAGCTCCATTAAGCATAGTAGCCATGAGAATATCATGACCCTGCAGTAAATTTCACAATACAAAAGCATTCTATATCAGGAAATTAAATGTCTTGCTGATGGCGAAAAATCAGACAATGAACCTAGGTGCTTCGCAAAAGACTACATGTAGGGGAAGTGTTTACAGATTGACACATTGCAAAAGAATAGTGCAGAGACTCACAAAAGAATATAAGCGGATAACGTATATTCTATCTTCTTAAGTTTTAACAAAGGTAAAGGATCAAAAAGAATCCTACAGATCAGACCAACAGACAAAAGTTCCTATAAATGACAGGAAGGCGTGTCAGACCATCAGCGTGCCGAGATCATTTTGACTACTGTCAATATGTAACCATATGTGTTCGACTTTGTTATGATAACTTTAAAAGTATTCTTTCCCCTTGCAGTCTAAAAAGGGGTATATCAGGTATTTGTAGCATATACCGTAAGGGTCCCAAACCTGTTAAAAGGGAGCAGTAATGCAGCCAATGACAGTTCTAAGACAAAGATCTCTTTCCCCTTGTATACTCTAGAAAAGGGGCAAGCCGGGTTTTGGGGCCTCTGCTGTATCGTGTAAGGGTTATGCACCTTCCAAAAGTGAGCTGCAATGCAGTCGATGGAAGTTTACAAGACAAAAGAGCCTCACTTAGTATTGAAAAGTATCTACTAATACAAAAACCTACAGAAAAGAATCTCTCCATAGAATGAGGTTAAGAAAATCTCTCCATAGAATGATGTTAGAAAATCTCTCCATAGCATGAGGTTAAAAGAATCTCTCCACATAAAGTAACCTACTGCATGCTCACGGACTTAAATATCCAAAACCTGAGATCATAAAAACAACATCTACAGATTCTCATGGCGGTAACAGATGCAGCTATGAGATTTACCAACTTTTCTTTAGATAGAGACCAACATAGCTGAACTTGCTTCTTCCTAGAGAAGGCATGACAGTTAAGAAGACAGCAAAAACAGGAGGCAGAAACCTTTTCCTTTTTTTTATATAACCGAGAAAACATCGAGGACCAGTGGTGCACAGTTTACAACTCGGTGGATAATAGGCCAATCCCTCTACCCTTCTTCCATTAGATACTAGCGATGTGAGCCTAGCCCACACGTCGCGCAATGCACTCTTACCGATAAACTAGAACCCTAGGGGAAACTAGAAACCGAAAACTAAGGAAAACAAAAACTCCTAGTCTTTCATCAAATCCAAGACACAGCTAATTGGAACCACGAGTAGCATGAACATTAAATGTGTTAACAGAACATAAAGAACATTATCAAAAGAAAAAGAAGAGAAATGATCCATTTAAAGATTATCTTGATAACCATCATGTTGGTGTATTTCCTGAATTATGACAGCTTAAGATTTTCATTAGAGTATCCATATTTGCACAAGATCAAGCAACAAAGAACTATCATCTTCTGTCGCATCCCAATACTCAAGTAAAATGGCAGTAACATATACTGTAAATGGTAGGTGAGAAGCTTACGGGGCAATCAACGAAAGATACATGTCTCAGCAATTTCATCCTACAGGTTTCGAAACCGGGGACATCACACATGGGACCGTCTTCTTTTCCACTTCCATATGCCCTGAAAAGGATACACCGTTACAGCATAAAAGTGACACAAACGAGCAAAGAACAGTTCCATTCAAATTCAAGTACTTACTTGTAGCACATGGGTCTAGGGCAGCGGTCTTCTTCACATTTATATATCTTAGCATTAGCATATCCAAGCTTAATTGTGATGTTTCTTTCTAGCTCATTTTTAAAACGAACAGTCTGCATAAATAAGGCAAGACAGATAATTAGTTTCTTTCTAGAGGACAATAGAATCTTAGGTTACCCAAATCAGCATGTGCTTAGCTTTCAAAAAATTTGTAGCATGAATTTGTTATGACAAATGCAGTACGATCAAAGTAGGTAGACATAATCAGACAAACTATCTTGGTGGTCAATTTATCAAGGCAATCAATTCATAATAAGCTAAAAATACATGCAAATCATTAATGATCTCAACAGCTGATAACTTCCCCATAATAATGAGGTTACATCTCATGCCATAATATATGCCGCACAGAGTAACAATATTCAATCATAACTCAAAAAAGAGGAAAAACCTTGAAATACTTAGTTATTCTTATAACCAACCTCCAAATACTTTTAGGAAGAATGTGCAAACACGCAAATAGTAGTTATTCTGCACCATAGAGTAACTAAAAAAGAGGAAAAATCTTGAAATACTTAGTTATTCTTATATGTTATAAGTTATAACCAACCTCAAAATACTTTTAGCAAGAATGTGCAGAAAACAAATAGTAGTAAACTGGGCTTAGACATTTAATACATGCTCAAATGGTTTATCCATGAATTCAAAAGTAATATAAGGCCATGTATTTACAGTTACAATGATCAATATACTGGTTTTAATTTTTTGATAAGAAAAGATCAATGTATTATTTGTTTTATAACTAAAAGGAAACTGATAAAAACAAAGACATACTTAAGTGAAGGTTCAGATTCCAGAACAAATGCGTACCTGCACTCCAGATATAGCTTTTACAACTGTTGACTTTCCATGAGCCACATGCCCAATGGTACCTGGATAATGAACCTAAATTCAGTCTGATGCCAGTAACGTATAAAAGAGTTTCTCAAAGAATACAAAGAAACCAAAATGCAGTGCACATATAGAATAATAGAAATACATGTTCATTAGTGAGCAGTTTACCAATATTTATTGTAGCCTGACGAGAAATAACCTCTGGTGAAAGTGGATGCAACTTTGTTACATCCAACTTACTCAGGTCCTGCTCCATCAATCCTTTCCGAGACATTTTAGCTGTTCTTTGATACTTCTTCAGATGTCAGTAATTT